TTCCCTTCTCTGTTCAGTTGATACCAGCTACTAATGGTTACAAGTCCTAGGGAAACTTTAACGTTAGGAAATGCTGTTATTGCACAGTACGAATTTCTACATCCTAGGAAGAAAAACTTGGGAAACTTCTGTATATAGAGAGGTTCCACTGAGGGAAGAGGTCCCCTTTGTGGATGTATCAAAATATTACAAATTCTAAAATGAGACTTAATTTGCAAATGCGTTTTACTTGTCCTAAAATAATTTGTCCATGAATGTAAAACTATAAATAATAAATTGTTGTTTTCCCACTGGGAATCTCTAATGTGAAAATGTATTCTATGAAAAGAAAGTTTTTTTAAAAATTAGAATGTTGTATAATAAACAATGTATTCTACTCTTTAAAAAAAAAGAGTTTGCTTTCAAAAAAATCCCTTTTCATATATAGCTATTTGCATTATTTTTTAATTATTGCACAAAAACATATTTGTTTGGAAAACTTTTGAGACTCTTATGGCTCTTGAGGTAATTGTCATAGGACACCACAAAAGCAGAAATGAGATATCTGTGCAACATTCAAATCTAATATTGTCCAACTCATATTTGCCTTATGTGGGCCGAAGTGATGCTCTAAAAGGGAAGGGATGTATCTTCAAGGCACACTTTTTCAACCAGCATCAGTGTTTTTTTTAGCTCTCTTTTAGGCAAATGAACTTTGCTTCTAGCCAGCTCTGCTGTGGCTCCAGCTACCCCCTGCCGACTGGTCCTATCTGTGTCTTTCACACTTGTTTCTGTACACCAAGGTAGATGAATCATCATGCTGGTCTTCACAAATCTTCTATCCAGTCACCATGTCTTGAGCACCACCTTTGTGCCAGGCACTGAACTAACACTAACATAGAAGAAAGGACTTTACAAAGATGAGCAAAACACCATCCTTGAACTTCTAGAGCTTGCATTGTGGAGGGGAAAACAGAAATATAAGTGGTGCTTATCAGAGGCTAACTGTAATAATGGTCATAACAATGCATTAAGAGATGGGATTTTAAAGGAGAGATCAAATGTTCTAGAAAAAACTGGTAAAGCTTCTTAAAGAGGCAGGTTTTAGAGATTGGAGGCAAATACTGGTGATGGTGAACACACCAAGCCCAGAGAATAGCATGGATAAAAAGCAAGACAAGAAATGTAGGATGTGCTGAAGAGTAGCCAGCAGGCTTGCTGGTATGGTCAGAGCCAGGATGTATTGGACCATATGATAACAGATAAGCCAAGCTAGAGGGACCTTGAGTGCCAGACCAAATAGCTGCAATCCACCCTCTAAGAAAGAGGAAACCACAGCAGGAAGCACCTCCTTCTTAAGCTTCCACTGAGTCATGAGTTAGAAGAACACATTAACTCTTCCAGGCACATGAGGCAATCCTAAGTACCAAGAATAGTAAAGGCAACACTTCCCCAAACAAAGGGGAATTGTGACAATGAATCAATCCCAAATGAACAGTCAGTTCTTCTGTTGTTGTTTACGTAAAACAATCATGTAGGTTTTATCCTGGCCCACTTTAATTTTTGGCTAAGTCCTTCATAAACTTCATGAGCATTATGCCAAAAGGACTGAGAGGAAGGAAACAGTTTAATTTCTTAAGTTTACATGGCAAAAAACCCAGCATCCCCACCAAGGACATACCTGAGAGCTTTGCCTGCAGTTTGGTGAGTTGGCCCCTGAGAAGATCTGTCTCCTTCAAGTTTTCTGTCAGCTGCATCTGTAGCTCTGTTTCCTTCTTTTGGTGAGCAGTAATTTTCAGCTGCAGATGAGAGACCTGTGCAGTAGCTGCTGCTAACTCTTCTGTCACCTTGGCCTGAACAGTAACAAAGTATGACATCACCTTTTTTTTTTTTTAAAGATGACCAGTAAGGGGATCTTCACCTTGATTTGGTGTTGTCAGCACCACACTCTTCCAAGTGAGCCACAGGCCGGCCCTGACATCACTTTAAACACAGGTGTTCTTTATCTCTAAGTGATGACCTAACTTCACATAACTCTATCCTGACTGAACTGGTAGACAGGAAGGGAACTAAGGCTACCTTCAACCTGCATTAAACTGAAACTGAACTTTAAAAATGCGCAAAGTCTCTGACTCGGGAATCCTCCTGCAGAAAATTGTCCTTAAGAAATATCACACAGGACTACACAAATTTTGCCACAAGGATGTTCAATGCAGCATTGTTCACAGTTGTAAAAGAATGGAAAAATAAAATAAAATGCTGAAAAATGGGCTTGATTAGCAAATCATGATACATTTATCCTGTATGCAGCTATTAAAAATGGTGTCGAAAAAGAATATGTAGTGGCATGAAATACAGTGACAACCTATTATATGAAGAACAAAGGTATATTATCAAATAATGTTTGATAAAATTCTATTTTTGTAAAATGAACACTTACTTATGCAAAGAAGAGAGCTTGACTGACATGTGTTTTTTAGTAGTAGTTAATCTAGATAGAATTATGGGTCCTTTATGTTTTACTTTTGCTTGTCAGATTATATATTTTTTTGCTTTGTATATGATTTTTTTGGAAAAAATAGTGTTTCTG